TTCGACCCTTGTCGTAAAGCATTCAATGTCCCAAAGTCTATTCCTGGCGTTGGGACATTCTTTCTGCTGCTACTGCCTATACCGCAGTACGAAACAGCCAAGGATGGCCACTTGCTCGGCCGATCGCACCTTGTCACTCTGGCCATTGTCGCAACACTCTTCAAACGCCGCGAGACGTCCCAGGCCAGGGGAAGAGGGGGTCTGCTATCGACGCCGCCGCTTCACCAGCGCGGACCTTTCGTCATGCTAGTCCCCGGTCCTCAAACACAAGACCAGATCTGATGAAGCAGCATCAACACTTTACTGTGCCAATAATACGCGGGCTATTAACACGGGCGCCGGCTATCCCACGCACAGTCACTATATCGCGTAGATTAAGAATAGCTGGCAGATCTTTAGGGGGCCAATTTGCAAGCCGTGAACAGCCTAGCAAAGCTGCCCATATTGGGAAGAGATAGATCGTGTCTGATCTGCCTGAGTGCCTGTCAACGACTGCAAGCCGCGGTTTCGGGAGTTGCAAAGCTGCAAAGCAACGCAGACGGCAAAGCACGGGACTGCCTGACACAGGCCGTCAATCAAGTTGCAGAACAACAAATCGTGAAAGATTACAATAGAGTGATTGCATAGTTAACCTGCAGGCTGACGATCCATCTCCCTCACAATGTGATCTGCCCTCTTTTGATAGGCCTCAAGTGACGAAACGTCGTCCAAGCAGACCCTGGCCCTAACACCCAAAAAGCAACTGTACTACGGAGGGGCAGTCCTTGTTAGCGAGGTGAAAGTCCCTCACCACTGTTACCGTTGCAGGTGATAGACGGTTGGAATGGGATCACCACCACCCATGACGTGTCAGCGTCAATACGAGCGGGCACCTAGTAGGTGATACAGCTGAGTGCTTGTCTTGGCGCATCACTATGATAGCAGACCTCCTCCCCCACAGAGCACGGATCGGACGGGTGAGGCTTGATGTTAGTGATGGTCGGTGAGACAGGCCATGCCCGGCCCAGGGTCTGGCCTGCGATAGATCGCCCTGTTAGGGCGACAAGGCATGAAAGAGACGAAAACACTAAGACAAGCCGTATCACGTAGACTCAGGTAGAGCAGGCAAGCTGCAGTGGAAGATTTGCAGCAGGAATTGAGATCACCGCCTTCGTGCCCCTAGAAGCCAGCCATTGCTGGAATGAGAGACAACTGATGATATGCACCACGAGGCGGAGACCCTCTCGAGACCCTACCAAGCCTACCACTGGGCAGACGATCGGTGAGGAATGGCACGCCTCACCTTAATTCACTCTTGCACGCTAGACTTTGGCATTTCGCCTTCTCTTCTGCTCACTGGGCCGCGAATAATCGGAGTGACGTCCCGGAACGCCCAAGGTGATCGATTAGCTTGCTCTCATCACTATTGAGCACCATCACTTTAGTTGGGCGTTAGTCTCCGGCTGCCCACCGCACCAGACGTCTAAGCGAAGCCTCCTAGGCCACCCACGCTGCATGACATCGCTGACATCGCAACGCAAGACAGCGCTCGCGGGATCGCCATGCGCGAAGAAGTTCGAGGTTTTCAATTGGAGCGAGATGTCTCGTCTCATAGCAATGGAGCTATCAGGACCAATGCAGCTTGGTTTTTAGTGTTCTTCCAAATCCATTGAGCCACGTCCTACAGGAGCGGTCATGACAGGATGATCTACACTGGCTTACAGACGCAAGCACTCAAGGAGCTCAATCTATTAGATTGGGAAGATGCTCACTACAGCTTCAAAACCCCGCCATGGGGTTCGTTAAGTTGAAGCACTGGCCGCCGGATGATGTCAAGTTCTCTAAGTGGGGAAGCCCTGGGACAGCCCCTGACTGCAATTGCCATCATTATTCTCGTTGTGGTCCTGAAGAGGGATGGTTAATCTGATCGCAGATGAGATATCACGGCAGACATGGCATTACAGAATGATGACAGCGGCCATCATTAACTGCCGATCTTCGACCTTCCATGCGGTCGATTGCTAGAGTGCAAGTGGTCTCGCTCGGCAGTCTACGACCACGGAGAACAGTCCGACACTGTGGCTTAACGGTGTCAGTGCACCAAGCCCTGTGCACCGTCCCTTACATCCCTTTCTCGGCATCGCAGGGTCCAGTAGTGCACCCTGAGACTCCGATGGAGATTCACAAGTCTGGTCATACGAATTGCTCAGGTGAGGGCATTGTCTCAGCGAGGGCAAAGGGTGGTCGCATATCCCTAGATTGTCTACAATTCGAAGATTCGGAAGTCTTCTAGAAACCGGTGATCATGACGCTGCATTGCTCTGCGCCCTCAAAGTTCCGTCATTGTCTCAGTCGAAACGTCAATGAACGCAAGGGAGACAGGCCTCATTGCATGCTAACCGTGTCTTGGAAGATGTTATGCATCAAGACGAGGGCCACATTATGTATGTAGGGAGACTCGGAGACTTAGACAGCTTAGGACAGCCTCCATCCAATGTTAGCAAGACCACCACATGACTTGTCTCTGATGCTATTTGTTAAATGAGTCGCAAAACCACACCTAGACTCCTCACAAGACCCTTAAAAAGGGAGGGAATAGTGACACGGTGGTGACATAACGGCTTTTCGCCTGCCCTTGCGTCTAGGTCCATAGAGAAGAGTGTATGGAGCATCTTTCAGCCTCGCCATGGCGGTCGGCAAGGCTAGCGAACTAAACAAACAGCAAACCCCTGGTTTTTGTTCAACTTTTCGGCCCGTATGCTGGCTGATCTGACTCGGTAAGGCTGGATGAGTCAAAAGCGGGTAACTGCATTTAGGTAATTATGGCTCAGAGCTTTAATTCACAGGTTGAACAGTGCTCGTTACGATCTTCGGGCAGTTGACGTAGTCTCCCATATGTACACAATGAGGGACCAGCCCTAAGTGATTGTGCTATACTATGGGAAATGGGGGCCATGCAGACTTCATCATGCGCTTGCTTGTGGAGGATGTCAGCATTGTCCGCGGTCTACTGCAGATGTATTAAGAGGTTAGATGGTGAATAGAGCAGACATGGTTACGCTGATGAGCTTGGGGCAATCTCGGGCAATCACAGACTCACGACCTAATGTGATCTAAACTTGTGTGACTCTGAGTGAGGTGTACGTGCGTGTCCCTGAGGCTTCTGCCAACCAAAGGTGAAGCGCCGTCTGCCGGCCACGTTACAAAAGACTGTAACACAACAGTTGAGTAGTATCAAGCATCCACTGATACCGGCAGTAGTAAACAGAGGAGCGGGAAAGAAGCGTTGCACACGGGCCGTGATCGTGAGTAGTCCGGTACTGATTTCAGATCCAACTGCGAGTCATTTGAACACTCGAAATTCAAGCGAATCTTATTCATCAGATAGTTTTAATATTATCATACTTGAGACATTTTGATATAGGTTTCGTGTGAATGGTACCTCCTACAACTCCATACACTATTGAGCAATCAGTCTTCACTCATGCATGTAAAGGCTTGTTGTGATGGAAACTTCCAAGCCCGGAATATTCGGCCTTGCATGAGAATTAAATCAACCCCAAGTGTTTATACAGAACTTGCCCCTATCTCAACGCATCTCCATCAACCCCTATCCTCCCTCTAACACAACACCCAGCGCCTTGTTTCGGATATCTACATGGGCGTATACTTCACAGCTGCATCCTACCTTCAATCTGTGCGCCCCTAGCAGGACTCTCATCGGACGAATCCATGTCGCTACACGTCGTCCCAAAGCCCTGACCCGAGACACGTACCACCTACCGCATCCTCAGCCTCAGGACTTTGGTGGCGACGGTTATAGCAGCGTTGAGGGTCCTTTCTGGGGCCAGACCACGCCGTAGCGCTGTAGGAGTGATACAGGGCGACAACTGAACGGATGTTGCCCGGCGAGGTGCAGGTCATGTCCTGCCGGATCTTCATGATCTGACAATGCTCGGCGCTAGTCTGAGCTGATGACATGACTGCGTACGTCTCTGCGCGCTTGCCTCTTGTCTATGGGTGATTGAAACATCTATTTTCGAGAAGAAGGTATCAAATTTTCTTGGTGGGTGTCTGGGAATAGGATCACCGCATGGCTGCTATTTTCGTGACCGTGGGCCATCATGCAAGCCTTATTAGATTTTGAGGGTTTTCGAGCCACTGACGCCGGAGACTGACCTGGAGTGGCTTTCACACAAGGAACGAGAGTCGATGATCCACAGTGGTGCACGTTATGGTTGATACTAGTGTTGCGTTGATGCGCGTTCTGCAAAGCGCTGACTCCCTATTTCAGGCAACAGTGGCGCTCCGGCTCATCGAAGCTTCGTTGAATGAGCTTTCGCTGCGATGTGAATCTTACCAACAGCAGATGAGCCTGAAACAACCGTCATGAAATGCGCCCTAGAGGATCCTACAAGAACCAATGACTGGAATTTAGAGACTGGCATCTCGATCCAACGATCACAGTGTCGTCGTAAGATCGGTCTATGGAAGGGGCCTAATCCTCTTCACATGATCGTACTAGCACCCAAGGACGCATACTCTTTGCATTATTCAGACTAACTAGGCGAGTGGCTCTGCCAGACTGACGAACTTCTCGAATGAGAAGGTCATGCATGAATGAGGATGGAACAGTCACCGAGTCAACAATGATCCTCACAGGCGTATTTTCTTATGGCATGACCTGTACGTTGTGACTAACCTGGCGAAAGACTCGCTAGTACTTCCATGTCGTTCCGGATCAATCCTTAGATGGCGTTAAATTAGCAGATCACTATCGGTACTTTAACATCAGAATCTGCTTACGCCTCAAGTGTGTGAGGATTTGCTAATGATTCAATTTCGAAGATCTAAATAGCTCTTTTTTCCCGAACAAGCAAGATACATATGCGGCAATGGGTTGATGATTACCCGTCTATGTAACTAAGGACAAAGCTTCTGCAGCTCAGCATCTCTAAACCAGAAGCAACGCCATGTCAGGCTCTATGTTCACACCACCTCGATTAAGAAACTATCTACATTTATCTTCGGGAAGATGGCCCAACCTTGTCTGTGAAAAATGGATGTCGTAGCGCCTCGGACGGCGTAATCCTCTTCTCGGGGTTCAGGTTCAGGCAGCGATCCAGCAAATCGTGGAAAAGATTGAGCTGCTTGGTCTCTGCATCGCTCATGCCGCTAGATGCAGCCATGAGGCGGGTGCGCAGGTCTCGGGTCGGCTTCACCATGGCTAAGGTTCTGACTGTAGTCTGTTGCATGAAACAAGGTTGGTTAGCGATGTGCTCATTAAATTCTATTTCCGTGAAGGATGTAAAAACTCCGAGGAAGCGTTGAATGTGGGGTACAGCAGTCGGCGACCTTGTCAACCGGAGAACAAGACCCAGCGCCAAAGGATGGTGAATGCTTGCTTGGTGGATGGGGTTGGGGGCGTCAGAGTGTGGCCGCTGTAGGCTGGATGTTGGTGAGGAGGGTGTCCTACTGACGGCGGCCCGGCTGCGACCATGAGACTCAGCGTATATGCAGACTTCTGCATGAAGAACACATCGAGACTCGCGTCATTTGACCACGATCAAGACCCAAGTCTGCTCGAAGTGAAGCTAATAGCGCCATCTCCCCACATGTGAATGGGACGGGCTGTGATGGTTCATCCATCTAGCGTTCGATCCAACCGCGCCCCGGCGCTTACCAGCCGCAAGCAGCCAAAAAAAGAAGCGCCCCCAAACTTCACAATAAAAATAGAAACATGCGTGATTCGACAAGCATTCTGAAACACCATATGCATGCGGGGATAACGAACAAGTGCAAGATGCAGATGGATGCTGTGACCATGCAATGGAAAGCTGCAACGTACCTTGCCTAAAACCTTATCTCTCTCCGTGCTGACGAAGTTGCCAGCCTCATCGAAATGAATTTGCCAAAGCTGTCCTCGGCGATACAGCTTTCCGCTCATCTTGCCGCGGATTTCCATGATAGTCTTCAGCATCTGGTTATTGCTGTCGCCAGTAAATAGAATTTTTCCGGTGTAGAGCTCATACAGGGTGCAGCCGATAGACCACATGTCGACTGCATAGTCATACGGCATTCCCAGAATGATCTCAGGAGCTCGGTAGAATCTGCTGACGAGATATGGTGTAATCTCATTGTGCGCGGTTGCGGCGTCTGATCGATCAATGGCCGTGCCTAAGTCGCAAATCTTGAGGACGTTGCGCTGGTCGTTTACCTATGAGATAGTTAGTATCTATTCTGGTATCATAGAGAGCAAAATGGTAACCTACCAAGATGTTGTCGGGTTTCAAATCGGCGTGAATGATGCTACACTTGCGCATGTGGGCCAAAGCGAGGAAAATCTGGTAGGCGTAGGCCTTCGTTGCACCCAAGTTGATGCCGACATTGTTGCCGAATTTCTTCAATACTTCTCGCAAATTCAAGCTGAGGTTTTCGAATGCCATGCAGAGATGACCCTTGTACTCGAAGGATCGCTCGAACTTGACAATATGCTTCTTGTTTTCAGGATCAGTGTCATTGAGCTTCTGCAGGATGGCAATCTCAGTGAAACCGCCCTTCTTCAATGCGTCATTATTCCTCATGATCTTGATGGCGACGAGCTTCTTGCTCGTAATGTCGACAGCTCGGGCAACGCCCGAGAACATGCCCTTGCCTAGAGTTGATTGTATTTGATATCGGCCATTTAATATCTCACCAGGTCGAATCTTGTAGTAGCCATCTTTGTCATCGCCGTCGAGGATCGCGCCGCCATTCGCAGCGGGTGCAAGCGAGTCCTCCTTCGTAACCGTTGATTTAGCAGCCGGCTTCGGAGCGACGAACTTGTCCTCGTCGAAATTTTCGGCGAACATATCGAAATCGTCATCGTCGTCTCCTTGTGCGGTAGCATCATTCTTCTGCTGCTCCTCTTCTTGCACTCCATTTGCAATTGCAGACTCACCGAGCTCCTCACCATGTAGGCCAACATTGCCAAAACGCATTTCGCCTCGGCGCTCATCTTCTTGCATGTCAATGGTAGGGTCATATGCTGCAGCGGATGGCCCGTCTTCGTCGTCAACTTTTGTCTCTCCATGCGTGTTGATCAGATCGTGATCATGAGCGATATTGAGAGCCTCCGGAGACATGGAATCTTGAGCACCCCGGGCTGAGAGGGCAGGAGAGGAGACACCTGACATAGTTAGTGATGAAGTGTGCCGCTCGACAAGGAGATACTTACCAGAGCGAGGAGTTCCTGGAGTCTTCAGAGGCGTGCTAACCTGGGTGGAGCCAGGAGTTGTGGGTGCAGGTTTGTCAGCCTGAACAGCCTGAAGAAACAAGGGAGTTGAGGCACGCGACTTTCTGAGAATAGCCTCTCTTCGGCGGCGTCGCCGCTCAATTTCGGCTTCTTCATCAAGAGGTTTCGGCTCCTCCCAGTCCTTTTCAGGGTCGGGATTCGACTCTTGCATAGCCTCCTTGGTTGATTCACTGGAGTCTAGTTAGCGTAGGAACTCTTTCTGCAGAGATATATCTGACTCACATGCTTCGTTGGACGGTGTCCTTAGATGTACCTTCAACCATAGCACCTTTATCAGATTTAGCAACTTCTTTGGAACGAGTAGTGTTTCCAGCCCCAGGAGCCCGCTTATACAAGGGGTCATCCCGTGCTTGCTTTTCATGGTGGGCACTGTACTTGATAGACTCAGCCTGCTCGCCATTCCGTTGTCGACCGAGATGGTCATCATTGCGCCTGCCTTGATCATATCGTCCCTTTCCTCCGCGGCCGGTTCGGAACGGAGATGGACTGCGTGTTCGTGGTCGCTTATCCGTATACCGATCGCGGTTGCGATCACGGTCGTCATACCGGTAATTGTCACGGGAGTCGTACCGGTGATTGGAAGGCCGATCAGGGTCCTCGTACCGACCCCGAGACGGTGGGCGATCTAGATCCTCATAAGGTTGTCGTGAACGTCGACTGTCATGTCGGGAGGATTCCTCGTAATGAACTTTGAAGCGTCGCGGATCCGGAGCACCTCGACCGCTGGATTGATACGAGTCGCGATCATCTCGAGATCGTTTATAGCCTCGGGGCGAAACATTTCGTTGAGACCGCGAGTCTCCGTAGTCTGGAGAGCGCGAATCTCTAGCTCGGCTTCTGTCTTGACGGTCAACACCGCTTCCATCATGATATGGCAGTGAAGTTGCCTTGGAACCCTCAACGTCGTGCTCTATGATCTCGCCTTCATCGGAGCTGCTGGCGGGAGACGCCATATCGACAAGCAGCAAAGCCGAAGCCGACAAGAATGATCTCTGACTTTGTTAGGTGGCGCGCGTCAGCTAAGCTTCACAAACGCTGTGACCAAGAACTGGAAAAAAGAGCCCAACCAGATCAATCCTGCCGACCGTTCAGAGACAGGACATGGCCTAGAAAGAGAAGCGAGAGGGTGATTGTCGATGTCCGTCAGGATTGACACAGGTATTCTAAAGATTCGCGCCACAAATGGGATGCTCTACGCGTCGGGAGCAAGGATGGCAGCCTGTGTGGATTGTGCGCAAGTGAGGTTGATTTGACGTTTTGGTCGATGCGGTTTTGACACCTGAGTCAGCTGGAAAGGAAGACGTAGGCAGGCGATAAGCGCTTATCTGAATGTAGTATTCTATTGGCTATCTCAGCCGCACGGGGGCGGGCGCAGTGGTCGCCAGAACGTTCAGGTGGAGGGGCAAGAATTCCTTATCGAGGGGCAGTCTAGAACCCCGAATCTGATTTTCAACAGCCTGATCCTTCACCGCATTACATCTTGCGACGGTGTCTTGCCATTATTGATTTGCTTTGTACAAGCCGCCGACCTTGGCACCACACGATCCATTACATTCAGGATTAATAGCATCATAATGGGTGGCCAGAACAGAGAAGGTTGGTTCCCGACGCAAGACGGATTTTTGTCTCTGTTGCGCTGACAGGATTGTTCTTACACAGGAGGCAAGGTCAAGCCCCTCAAGGCCGCCAAGAAGGAGAAGAAGGACATGGACGATGATGACAAGGCCTTCCTCGAGAAGAAGAGAGCCGGTTAGTCTTGTCTAACAAACATCGAATTCCTAGTGACTCGACAAAGCTGACATGGCCGGAATACAGACGAGAAGGCACGAAAGGAAATGGCCGACAAGGCTAAGGGCAAGGGACCACTGAACTCTGGAGCCCAGGGGATCAAGAAGAGCGGCAAGAAATAAATGGACGAAGGAAGACATTTGGCAGGGTCATTGTCTGCGAGCGCTGCAACTGCAGAGGCGTTTGATTGCGTGGAGTCTTGACGGGCATAGGACTACCTTCAGTGATAGATCCGACTTTAGGACATTGGAAATGCTTTTCACAAGCAAATAAAATCTTTTGCACATCAAGAGACTGTTACTTCCCTTTTGTTTTTTCATTGCGAGCATACGTAGAGACTTTGATGCCGATTGCATTTCTGTCGTCCGGGGCCTCGGCAGTCCGAGATGGGGCCACCCGGCGTTATCATGTGCGTTCCCAACAAATTCACGGAGCGAGTCCATGGTCCACTTGCAAGTCTCTTTCCTCAACGACTTACGACTTGAGATTGCATATAAAGAAGGAGTGGACGTATGATATATGTAAACTGGTGATTTGTATTTGATTAATTTGCGACATTGAGACAGCTGTTGAATTTGAGCAAAACCACTGCTCGCGGAGTAAATATGTCCAGAAACTCGGGACCTCCCTCCGAGGGTGTCCGCCAACGGCCCCGGCGCAACTCCGCCGCCGAGACGCTCATTGACACAGCTAAGCAAGTCGAAGCATCCGTCGAGAAGGCACTGCTATGGGCGTGGGATGAGCTGCCAAACTGGCGGCGCGACAACGCCTTCATTCTCCGGGGCTACCGGCCGACCTCCAACAGCTACTGGGGTTCCTTCACCAGCCTGGGCTACCTGCACAACGAGTCCGTCAACATCTGGTCGCATCTACTTGGGGCTGCGGGTTTCACCATCGCCGGGTCATTTTTGCATGGGGTGGTAGCACCTCGGTACGAAAGCGCGAGCGAAAGCGATATCATCGTCTTCGCATGCTTCTTTGCGGGCGCATTCTGTTGCCTGGGCATGAGCGCGACGTACCATGCGATATGCAACCACTCTCCGGATGTGGCCAAGTGGGGAAACAAGCTGGATTACTCGGGAATCGTCTTCTTGATTCTGGGCAGTTTCGTACCGGCACTGTATTATGGTTTCTTCTGCTCGCCCCGGCTCCTGACACTGTATCTCTCTATGGTAAGTGGCCCGCTCTGTTATTTCTGCAGCCCGACCTTGCTGACAGTATGTTAATAGATTTGCCTACTGGGTCTGGGATGCCTGACCGTGTCTTGGTTCGAGCACTTTCGTACGCCGCGCTGGCGCCCGTACAGAGCTATGATGTTCGTCGGGCTGGGAGTATCAGGCGTCGTTCCCGTCTTCCATGGACTGAAGATGCGCGGCTTCCAGAACCTCGACGAGCAGATGGGTCTCAGATGGGTGCTATTACAAGGAGCCCTTTACATATTCGGAGCGTTCCTCTATGCTGTAAGCTATCTATTTGTGAAAGAAACTTGTTGAAGCGGTTATTAACACATTACAGCTTCGGTGGCCGGAGCGAAGCTTCCCTGGTACATTCGATATCTTGGGGAGCTCCCATCAATTATTCCATATTCTCATCTTATTCGCGGCTGGTTTCCATCTTTATGGTATGGCGAAGGCATTTGACTTTCATCACAGTATCATGGGAGCGCAGTGCTGAGGTTGGACCTCATTAAACTGCGTTAGAATTATAGATAGATTTCTCATTTGGGACTATTGGGTATCAAAAATCAAAGCTCCATGTCCACATCAATGGGCTCTTCGTGCGCACCGCGATCGCATTCAACTCCAAGATCCATCACTCTCACGAGTCCCGATCCCATAGCAGCCGCTGCCCACCAGCCAACTTCGATGTTCGGATTCCATGCTACCGCTGTAATCCGTGTAAGAGGCTCTTGTATAGCGAATCTGGTTTCCGATGTGGCCTCCGGCGCGGCAAGATCCTCATCATCTAGATCTATTTCGCCCTTGATCACTGGCCCCTGTGGCTTCCTTCCTCTGTTGGTCTTTTTCTTGGTCTTCGTCTTTCTGCCCTTCATGCGTGCCTCCGTCAGCCCCCTCTGGTAATCGGTTCGGCCAGTGTTGTTCGTCTCAGGCAAAAAGCCCTGTAAGATCCTCGAGACGCCCCGGACAGCCTCTGTTTCAAGTGACGCGATCTTTTCGACGGGACGGAAATCATGTTGGAAAACTCTGAGTTTGAAGACCTCATCTCCCCTGTCTTTCATAATTGATTTTAACGCGTTGAATGCCCATACACTGCCGTCCGCGGATCCGACAAGGACAAACGGGTGGCATGTGCCTGAGCTTACGCAAGTCGGCTGACTGGGGGCGGTGAAAAGGGTCCGGCTCTGGATGTAATAGCGTACATGTGTGAAGCCAACAACCGTGTTCGCTGGGGTTGGAGTTGGGTGAATACCGAAATAACCTTGCATGTGGTCGTTCCAGCTAATCAAATCTGGCTGAAAGTTGACGGCGCCTGGCAGTGGGATATAGGTTGTCTCGATGCTCGGTAAGCTGAGATCTGTCACCTCTGGACAGCCCCCGACTGGTATTGAAGCGATCATGTATGGCTTTGATGGATAGCCGCTACTTATATCAATGATCTGGCTGATATGCACTGAATGGCGGGCAATAAGTTGACAAGGACTGATGGACCAGAGAGAAATAGAACCATCGGAATGGCCTAAGCACAGGCGATTGATGTTCACCCAGGTTAGGCATGTTGTGGCAACATTGTACTCCTCCGTCAAGCCCAGCGTAGCGATAGGTTCTTCAATCCAGTCTGTGTAGTGTAAGTAACATGATTTCCTAAGCGAGGAATTCCACATACCAAATGCTGCTTGACTATCATTTTCTTGGTCTTTCACCAATATGACGCGCACCTGACCATCGCTGGCCAAGATGGCAAGAACTCCATGAACACTATCGTTGGGGACTGGCACTGGGCACCACTCCATTCGCTTTGGACGGCCCCAGCCGAAACAAGCAGCTCTGAAGAGTTGTGGTGAGCCTAAAGACGGTCGAATAATCCCAGCCGAGTCCTTTATCGTGGGGAACTTCCAGAACTGGATAGATCCGTCCTTCTTGTCATCTTCTTCGCCATCTTCATCGGTGTCTCGATAAGCCTGATCAGAATGTGGGATGACAGCCATCGCTAATATCTGATATGCTTGATCTCGAATTGGTGCCCATTTCATGCTGAGCACGAGGCCAGCAACGTCAAGCAACCAGCCATTCAAAACGCCTCGTTGGGAATCGACGCCAGCAACTGGAGTGCCTGATTCCGATATGTGTAGGCTATTTCCATAGGTGAGAGAAAACTCCTCCTGATCGGTGTGAGGTCCTAAAAGAAGCTTCAATTCCCGGCTTTCCCGCGTAACGAAGCGTTGAGCATGTTTGGCGGGTATGGAATGTGTCCTTTGTTGAATATTCTTGCTTGCCAGATACCTTTGAATCCAGGAAGTAAATTGATTTTCCTGGTGCCGTTCAAATCCCTTAGCCAGCCAGGGGCTGGCCACGACGCCACCCTTAGAGGAAAAGGTCTTTGCAGGGAAAACATGATGCTGTAGCCACCGTTGCAGCATGTCGTATACTATGCTCAGATGCTTCTGGCCGGTGCTATAGTAGAGATCTGCAAGCTGGTGGTGCCTCGTCCATCGTTTCAACGGTCCAACATAGATTCGAGTCTGCCGGATATCAGTAGGATAGGCGGGGACCTCATGGACATGCCCGGATGGCTTGGGCTTCTGCTTCTTCGGTCTTATTCTTTTCGGCGCTGCGCGTCCACGTCCAATCTCAGAGTCAACGGCGATGGCCTCATTATCATCGTCGTCGGAGATTTCAGCCTCACTGACCTCGTCATCGAAGTCATCGTCTATCTCCGTTTCGGCTTCAACGAGATTGTCATTGCCATTGGCGTCCTTGGTGCCACTTGCTGAGGCGTTCACCTCATCGAAATTGACATCGTCTTTGTCCTGGCGCGATGCCCGCCGTGCTGCAGGGTCGTCCGACTCCTCATCTGAGCTGAGACCATAGACATCTGCGCCGTAGGTGAAGCGCGTCTCTTTATTCTTCCTTCGGGTGCGCATCGCGATCTATGTGGGAGAACTCCTGGTGCTCAGTCAGTGGCCCAGAAGTCGCGTCGCGCGGTGTTGCAGTGTGCCCCGCATGAGGTAAGGAATTTTTAGGTATCGATCGCGGGGTATTGTTGCGCTGGCGAAACCTTGTAGTGGGTAAGCTCTGCTCTGCCAGGGTGTCATGTTCCAAGACTTTATTGCGATTCTTCGCTCGCAGAGAGCCACCTGCTGTCAATCGGCTGCTTGAACAAAAATTCAAACTTTTGAGAGACGATGAAGCTGCAGATCGTCAAATTTATTATGAATTGCCATGAAGAAGCGCCGTCTCCAATTCGCAGGTCAAAATCGAGGCCCTGTTGTGGGTGTGCTATAATGTAACATGATCCATTGATAACATCTCTAAATATCAACGACTTTATTACATCTTGTCACTGAACCCTTATCCCCACATCCCTGTACATTTCAAGCCTAGCATATAGGCAGCTCGAAGAAGCCAGTCGTCTTGAAAAGGCCCAGGGCTCTCCTACCAAGTAATCCGGTCTTATGATACGAAACTCAAGCGGCTTCTCAGTCAGCATCACTGGCCGCTTTTACGGCCGCTTGGTAACCCGGCTCAACTTTAACTTACTTTCTGATCAGTCCTCATCAGACTTGCCCAGTCTGTACGCGATCCTGCTCACCCTTCTCCTTAATAGCACTGGGATAGTCTATTGGTTCCATGTTCAGGCTTTCAACTCTGGGACTGTTTATGTCACCCTGCCTAATCTCCGCAATAGTTATGGCAACCGCAACTGGGAGGCTATCTTGGCTCTTACTTTGGGCCCATGTTCCGAGATCTCGATCTCTTCAGTGCTAGTCCCATGAGCAACAATCCTTTAGATTTAGTTGTGAAAAGCTGGCAAGTAGGGTCTTGTCTTGTATATGGCTTGAATATGGCTCTTTCTGTCCAGGCTTTTCCGTGGTATTCTAACCCGAACCCTATTATACTAGAGAGTTAACTCTCGAATCTATCAAGATTTCTCTGTGGTATTAGCACTTTATTCACTCATGGATGACTCTGAAGTCGCACAAGCGTCTAAGAACTTTGTCCTTCTAGTCTCCAATGAATCTCGTCCAATAGGAAAAGCTCAAAGCGCCGCTGCTGAACTCTTGGGCTTCTAGAGAGCCAGCCGGAGAGTCAGCGATATTGCAGATAGCGACATGCCAAGACTTGCCATCCTATGGAATCACTCAACAAGCCACTACATGTAGATGGAACAATAGATGAATTGATTCAGTCAAGCAATTGTCAGGGTTTCCGAATGGTGGATCTTATTAGTACATGGACTGTTTTTGCCGAGCTCTAGACTACATCCCGTAAGTAATTAAGAACCTGGTCTGTTGAAAGCCTTCGCGGGTGCCCTGTCATAGCTTGCCTGTAAGCAACTTTCAGGCGTTCCAGGCAATTCAGCCCCAGGATAGCACGAGCCAATGACCGCCCAAATACAACAATGGCCTCACATATTCTGAACAGTGGCGTTGATGCATGACATATGCAGAGTGTCTGCCAACGTATGCTCTTCGCAGCAAATCATCTTGCTGCCCATCCCGCAACAAGGTAAACACTGGACTCGTCTCACCGTAGATAAAAGCTGGAGCCGCCAGTCTGGTGTAACTCCTTTTTCTCCCTTCACTCGGCAACGACATAATACTCGCGAATAATCTTTTGTATTACGAAGCCTCTACACAGGCAACTACATTTGTAGTATATCGATAACTCTACGGGCGGGGGAGACCCCGCCTTCGTTCAATTTATTGCGATCATGATGGTCATCAACTAGCCCACGGCCAGTCAAGTACGCCATGGAGGCTCGGCACACGAACCTTCTGCGTCTTTTGTAACTCTTTCGTCGACGAGACGGAAACTCGGTGTTTCGAGGACCCTGACAATGAGCCACTGCTGCCTGACTTACCGAAACAGCAGAGTGGTGATCAGCAGTCTGAACACACTGCTGACCCGCGCCGTTTATTATCGAGTCCGAATTTCGAGGGTTTCAGCGTCTCGTTATCGAAAGAGTTTCTTGAGTCTACTAATAGCCTCCCGTTATCGGCTACTGCGTCCCTTACCCCTGGCGTATCTACCTCTGATATGCAGTCTCTTCCTAGTCCATTGACACCAGCTTCACCACTCAATACTGGAAATCAGTCAGCAACACGGCCCTACCCATGTAGGCAAGGCTGTACGGCACTATTTCCGTCGAAACGCGAACTAGAGCGTCATTACTCAACATTCTCGCATCAGCCAGAACTGTATGACGCCTGTTCTTTGGTGTCCCAAGCATCCTTCCATTGCGCCTGCGGCTACGTTAGTCCTCGCCGTGACAATTACAAACGACACATTTATGATTGTACACGACTCGTCAAGCAGCCATATAGGTGTAGTAATGGGCATACTGGAACGAACCACCTGGAGTGGTTCGCTCATTTGGAAGGACCCGACTGCAAACCGAAACGAGGGGCCCCAAGGCGGCGTGTGCCGAGACGGGAAGATGTGATATGACTTCATCAGGCCTTCCAATGTGTATCTCGACTCTGGTGTACCTAGGTAAATCCAGGCGCACAAAGAACTGGTCGGTACAACAGGACGACCGTGTCGGAATTACAGCACGACCTTCAGAGAACACAAGAAAAGCACTGATGGAAGGTAGACGCAAGCAATTGTTGACTTTCCATGCTATGATGATCGTGTTGGGAAAGGGGAGGGGCGAGCTCCTAGCTGCCGGTTGATGTTGCAGAAGAAGCCGGTGGTGTCGTCTTTGTATTTTGCTTTGCCAGAGCTTGCGTCATTGTGCCTTTATCAGTGGGCACTCACCACTCGCCTTTTTTTTTTTTCTCGAGGCTGAGACTTGACTTTCGATACTGAGATTTGAGAAAAGGGGGGAAGAAAAAGATAACGAATACGAGCTGAATTATCAACCAAAGATACAACGATGTATAATTAGTCAAACTATCAATTTGGGGTTGCCTGGAATACAGTACGCAGCCCAATTGCCTCATTATCTACATTATATTGCCCTAAATGCTTCTTTTTTGTGCGTGCAGCGAGGTATTTCATGGGCGTTGACCAGCAGTTCGCACTGAGTACAGTTTAACTTGATGCATCAGCCATTCTAAGCCTCCAACGTAATTTTCTCTCACCGGAAGATACTTGAACGATGACATAGAATTGACTTTATATGACTTGTCGCTAGGTGACTGATATGACTTCTCAGATTATCACCCACTGCCACTGAATCTCTGGACAGTCGTTGATGTATTGCATATCTGGGCCATCACACTCGATTTGCCAAATGACACCAGCCTTTGTTAGCTGCAATGTGTAACTTACATAGTAGGGCGATATTATACATGATCTTGTATATTAACTGCATGACCACGGCTGATCTCCTCAGCCGGGCATCCCGCACGGAAAGACGGCCCTTTGGACTTTTCAGTTAGGGGATTATGAGATCTTTGTCTATGCTAAGAATTATACCAAGAGGTCCATACAACAACCATTTCCTGTCAGCGCTAGTTTTTGCAGCGCAAAGCCGGGCTATTGTCGGTCTGGGTGCTGAGTGGAACCGCTGTTCGCCGCCTCGGGTCATGGAAAGCGAGGGCCCTGTTCTTGAAGTCGTGACACGAGGTCGCGGTGCATTCCCAGGGGTCTGGAATCCACCTGCCTATGTCAGTCTTCCCTGGAACCTGGTTGGAGTATTATTGACAATTATTGGCTGCAAGCCAGTCGTATTCGCTGTTAGTGGTTGGTTGCTCGTGCCTATATTGACTCTCCAAGACTAAGACGGGATTCAGGTATTCAACCGGTCGCCTATTGGTGTGACATTGAAAGGTGCTGACAGTCTGCCCACAATTCGCGAGCTAATTTCAACAGCCCAAGTTGTCCGAGGCACAGCAATTAAGTCCGAATGTGTAAACCTCAGTGTTGCCAGATTCGATTCAGCTGAAATCGACGTTTATCTCCTGACCAACCACGATGCTTTGGCTTTGGCCTTAGCCCTGCATGTCGTATTTCCAACGGCGTCGTGTGGAAGCATCTGCCGACTCTAGAAGAAACTGTCCAGCAACGCCACAACGTCAGAAAATCTACGAAATGAAGCCAACTCCGCCGCGAACCCGCAGCTATCGCTCTCAATACGCTGTCTCCTGAGTCCGGCGACTCTTACAATGCGGGGACCCCGGCCAGAAGAAGACTAGAGGAAATCTGGGGCGTACACGCTAACGGAACACCGCAGAATTGAGCCGTCTCCTCGTTGCATTTATCCATCTTGGCTTGCTGGGGTTCGTCTGTCGAATAAGCCCGCTCCAATGGGCGTCGCCCTGGACTGCTCCTTGCAGAATCACCAGTCTTGTCCCAGGACCGTGGCTGCCAGTCGGTCCTATGATTACTTGTATTGGCCGCGCGGGCCATCGCTAATATCGCTGTCATCGTTGTTGGTCCGTCAGGAGCTATACCGCATCGCACACCACATGGCATGGATGCCTTCACAGGACCACTATCCAATGGCCTCGAATTCCATGCTTCGGTACCACAAATCCCATTGCCAAGCCTGATCCCGTCTCCATCTCCAACCACTCCTGCCCCGCATATTGGAGTCCATGGAGATCCCTCATGCGCGTTCCAGCCGTCAGGCAGCGCAGTGGCTGCTATGGGCCGACGCGACTATGTCTATCGTTGAGACGACCAGAGGAGATAAATGGGTGTGTGACCCATTTCAGCTGAGAACCTACTGTTCTCTGTCTTCATGCCCTGCACGAAATAGTCCTTGAGACGCCTTCGAAGTAATCAGAACATCGTTTCAAGCTCTGTTATTTCAACAACATGGCGATTCATTCAGCCACGGCCGCAGAGACCGGCAAGTCTGATCCCATCATTACCAGGCTTGCCAGCGAGGACAAGACGCGATGGTTCAGAAAGCCAAATCTTCGTTTACTATACCTCATGCTCTTTCCGACTTGCATGGGCATCGAATTGACCTCCGGTTTTGACTCCCAGATGATCAACGCGTTGCAAATTGTGCCTTATTGGAAGCTCTGTAAGTCGCAATCAATCCCGGATCGCACACATGCTGACAACTTTACCAAGACTTCGGTGATGCAGAAGGGAACATAAATAGCAGTCTTAAGGGTATCATTGCAGCTGCTTACTCTCTCGGAGCTATTCTATCTCTTCCTTTCGTTCCGATAATCAATGACAAGTTCGGACGGAGATGGTCCATATTTGGAGGCTCCGCTGTGATGTGCCTTGGTGCAATCATTCAGGGATTCGCGCAGCATGGTTGGTATAACTGTGAAAATAGCTCAATTATCATTTACTGACTGTACAAATAGAGGCCATGTACATCATAGCCCGCATGATTCTCGGCTTTGGCATCCCGACCTGTATCGTTTCTGGATCCTCCCTGATCGGTGAGCTCGCCTATCCGAAGGAGCGAGCGGTTCTCACATCACTATTCAACGTGAGCTACTTCATCGGCAGCATTGTAGCTGCAGCTATCTGTTTCGGAACAAACAATATCAAGAGCAACTGGGCGTGGAGAATCCCGTCTCTGCTGCAGATATGCCCCTCGCTGCTCCAGATGAGCTTTGTCCTGTAAGTTTCATCACATTGCAGCATCGCAATTGTACTGACGCCAGGATCCCAGTTTCCTTCCTGAAAGCCCTCGATGGCTTATCACTAAGGATCGGATGGAAGAAGCTGAAGCAATTTTAATCAAGTATCACGCGGAAGGAGACACAGAGTCAGAGTTCGTCAAGGCTGAAATGGCGCAAATGCATACCACTATTGGATTGGAGCTTGAAGCTTCCAAAAGGTCTTGGATCGACCTCTTCGCCACATCTGGTATGCGTCGTCGTTTGCTCATTACCTCCTTCCTGGGCCTCTTTACACAATGGTCTGGCAACACCCTCATCTCGTAAGTGAATCCTCATCGGACCTTGGTTTATTTATTTACATATATAGATATTACTTGGGTGACCTTCTCAAGATGATCGGGTTCGAGGATTCGACATACATCCAGAAGATCAATGTCTCCATGTCATGCTGGCAGTTATTCTGCGGTGTGCTCGTTGCCTTGCTCGTCCTTAAGGTTCGTCGGCGGGTCATGTACCTGATCTGCACCTGCAGTCTGCTTGTCTGCTATATCTCGTGGACAATCTCCATGGAGCGTGCCCAAACAGCTGCCAATGCTGGCCATCCAAATAATCATGCAAATATCGCCACTCTGTTTTTCATCTACGCATATTCGCCGTGCTATAACATCGGCTATAATGCCTTGACTTACAGTAAGATACAATGAATGCTACTTGTTAGAATCCTCATACTGATTATATACTAGCCTACATGGTGGAAGTGTGGCCTTATGCCGAGCGTTCTCGTGGTATTGCTGTCTTCCAGCTGTTCGGCCGCTTGGCGGGTTTCTTCACAACCTTCGTCAACCCCATCGGTCTCGACCATGCCGGCTGGAAGTACCTTATCTCGTACTGCTGCTGGCTCGCATTTGAAGTCTGCTTCGTGTACTTCCTCTTCCCCGAGACTTTTGGCCGTACTCTCGAAGAGTTGGCTTTCAGTAAGTCATTTCCACTTCCCTCGTAATTTCAACGCTAATCCACATTAGTATTCGAGGACAAGCATCTAGCAGACCAGGCGGTCAAGGCTGTTGAGAAAGTCGTGCATCACGAAGTTGTTGCGGTTGACGGGGAGGGCAAAGCCAGTGGAGATGGAGGAGAGGTCAGGAAGGAGGTGGTTTGAGCACTATACTCTACTTATCCTCATATGAAGCCGCGTTGACTCTCACATCCAAGCACCTTGGCATGTGCGACGCATAACAGCTTGAATTATTGTTAATCTATCAGAGTTGAGGTACCACCATATGAGGTATCCACAGTTCTCCGCAAGATCACTATGATTGCGCGACATCTAAAAGCTCTACAGGATACTCTGTGCCACTATCTCGCCTTCTTACTGAGAAAAGGCCTCGAATTTTCTTGGTCTTTCTGTCAGCCTGTTGTGTCTTCTTCTTGTCATGCCAGTTCAACATCCTTTCCGGCCGTGAGCTACATGTCTCGACTGACGTCTGTGAATTGGAATCATCCCGTAATAAGCTCGGTGTAAGAGAAATCCGTTTCGTCTCTGTGGTATAGTCTGTGAAAAATGATTCTGTGCTTCTCATCATGCGCCCTCCGTTGAACACAAGCTTACTGGGCGATTGTGGCTGATCATCTCCATGCGTCTCTAGTTCGTTGCTTTCTCTTGTATCCAATGAGATGTCTTCGTCCTGAGCTGGCTCGATTGAAGGCTCAACGTCTGATGAATTGGCTTCCGCAAGAAGCCTTTAGTTACGGTAGAATTCTTGTTCGATGAGCCACCCAGAAGTATCCTCTTCTACAGAATCAGTATGAAAGTCGTAAGTCTTCGAGTGACCTATGAATGTCGGGGTCCCTCTTAATGTGACTGTCTTTTTTTGTTCATTTCTCTTGACAATGCTCCTTGGCAGTGTCGTTGTAGTTCGATCTGTTGTGCTTGGTATGATTTCAGTGGTAAGCTAGACAAGTCAGTTATATCGCTTGAAATACTCTTGAGAAACGTACAGCAATATTCCTGTGCTTATTCAACCGGGCGAGTCTTTCCACTGGCGTCTCAACGAACTCTGAAGGTAGGTATCCTGTTGCATCATTAGCTGAGAACTTTCTGAGAAGGGGCTACATACCAATTGAGTTGTCTCCGATCAACCTCACTAGCCACCAGTAATTATTATTGTCATCGAGCAACACCATAGTATCTCCCTTGGTTGCATTGATCTGCCCCTCGACAGTCGCTTTAAACGTGTGGAGTGCATATACAAAATCGTAATCAATGTCGTCTGCATCAAAGAGTCAGGCCATTGTCTCATATTGTATTTCATGAGATTCTCACCAGGAGGTATTAAATCAGAATAAGAATCGTCGTCTTCGTCGTTGTCGACATCAATTTCGCCTGCTGTACTGTCGGACACATCAATTTGAGTGTCTTCTGTCTCCGTTGTTTCGTTGCGAGAGATGACCTCTAGCAACTCTCTAACATGACCATCCTCTGGCGCTGCTGTCAGCTCTGCTTGCGATGCATCACTAACGTCAGAGCTTTCGGTGGTCGAATCACTGATCAGCTGAATTGGCTGATCGTCTGCAAACCCTGAGACTTCAGCTTGCGCTCTATAATATCTCGCATTCGCGAGTTCGCGCAGCGTCAGAGGCATAGCAATGACCGAAAGAATGGATATGTCTGCCAGACTATAGCCCGAAAACACTGACCATGCATGGGAGCGTTGAACAGAGCTGACAAATGAGCAGTCGCACTCGTTGTGTTCGTTTCTGCGATACACCCATGATTGCTCCAGAATACTTTCGAATGCGAAACCTGTCTCATTTACTGAAAATGTGCGTATATTGCTGCTGGAGTCGCAATTCGAGTAGTTGTGACCGACCTCTCTAATGGTTTGTACCTCATTGTCTGCATCACTTGATTGATGCTGTGCTATGGTGTAGTCATCTCCTAAGCGTCTTGTAAATGTGCTCATGGCATCAAAAGAGTCCTCCGACTGAGAAAGAAGGCGTTTCAATATTTTGTTCTCACTTAAGACCTCTTGGATTAGGATCCGTAAAGTGGCCTGACTTTGCGAGGCTTCTAGATCCGATTGACTGCCTTTCTATGAGCCTAATATTGACAAATGGGTCTTTTGAAGTTATGTACCATTGAAGTATACTCAACATAAGAGTCAAAGACGTTTTATACCTTTGAACTTTGGCCAGGTGCTCCTCAATCAATTTCGAGTATCTCACCCAAGTGATTGCTACGTGAATCCTAGCCAACCCACTCAGTAGTTGCAATAGGCTTTCGAAGTTCGAAAATGCCAACATAGCGTCGGCCAAGGTTACTCTCAAGTCATCGATCTGTATCAGAGCAGACCGTTGCGGATTTATTCGGTCGAGGTGTTCTAGATAGCGTTGCATAGAACACAGCGCGAGCTCGGCATGTTTGACTTCTGTTCTAGCCTCGTGGATCGTTGTCGGGCATTGCTTGATGGCCGCTATCCCCTCCAAAAGAGTATATACCTTGCCCGCCGCTGTCAGGAGGCCCACGACAGATGCCGTAACACTTAACGGATCCATTTACTAACTGTGAAGGACTAGAGACCATGACGATGTCTGTGGAAATGCGAGTCGTGTGGTGTTTCCTAGCAATACACCAGATCTCTCTGGTGGTGTTCACGGGAGCACTGCCTGAGGTGGTGGCGCAGTCAAGCCTCCATGCAAGGGCTGTATGGGCGGCCTACGAGGTGAACTAAAGTTGCATAGCCAGCGCGCAATCACCATGAGCTGAATGGATCAGCCATAACCACTGGCTGCACTGCAGCGCTAGCTTCACGCAAGTCGTCTTAAGTAGAGCGCCTCACGGCGCCTAAATTTCCAGTGCCGATCCCTGTCTGTCACGAAACCAAAGTGAGCATAGCCAAAGAAGTTGTCAAAACAATGTTCAACGGCTTTATGTTCCACGAGAATTGTTGAGCAAAGACATGCTTCGCATATGGGTTACCTTGAGTCTTCTACAATCATCCAACATTGGTAGTGATAAAACTCCTTCGTGTCAGACACTAATAGGCTATTTCTTACGTGCAAGCTTATTTTGAAACACATAGTCACTTTTTCGTAATCTGGGAAAACATAGAGACAAAGCTATCTAGATGCGAGACCATAACCATGGAGATATTTGAAAGCTTCTCTAGCAACTAACGCTTTCTGCCCCTAACTTAATCTAATATGTTGGTATGATAAGTTCAATCTAGTAATATGGTGCTAAAGAATTGCGCCGTTCTAAATGGTCTATCGTTCTGTACAGCCGCGTGTAGCCGCGTGTACTATGCTTCAATGTTCTCAGCCGATGTAGTACCGGCGTCGCGACCAGAGCCTCCTTGCATTCGAGCAAAGAGAACTGCAGCTTCTCGAGCATATTTGCACTTCATTCTCACCACTGCACCATATTTGTAGCCCAAGATGGGGAATGGCATGCAGGCCACGGTCAAAAAAGCGGGCACGCTACTCGCCCAGTGTATACCAAGGTTCTGGTACATCTTGGTAACGAAGAGTGGGAAAGCTGTGGCAAAAAGAGACCTCAGCATGGCGCTGGCTGCAAGAACTGAAGCAGCATAGATTGTATAGGAGTCGAGGAGGTAGTTGAGACATGAGAGGAATACTAATACGCAACCGAGGCCGAAAGGCGCCGATACGATAATGCTGACTGACCAGTGAACGCTGGGCGAGTTTGTCCAGGCGAAGGCGAACATGCCTGCAGGAAGCAAGATGGCTCCTACAATGGCAGGAGGAAGGCGAGCTTCTGGAGTTCCACCCAATTTCTTGTAGCGGTCGCTGTCGAGAATGGCGTATAAAAGCCCGAGGATCATACCAACAGTCAATCCGAGGAAAGCTAGGCCGCTGATGCCCACGTTCCATCCGCGTATCTGGTGGTAAACGATTGGAAAAGCCCCGAAGAACATATAGATGATTCCATAGAGAATTGACATATAGATTGAGGCAATTAGCACAATTGGCTCCTTGAACAGTAAGATCCACGGCCGCTTTAATGCCTTTCCAAAGACAAGGGACGGCTTCAAGCCACTTGTATGAAGCACACTGATGTGAGGGTGACCTGTTGTCCTGGATAGTGCTAAGGCTTTGTTGTGGAGCAACACGGGGCCGTACGTCTCAGGAACTAGAATGCTACCGATAATCCAGACGACGCCGAGGAATATGCAGCATACGCCTTGGACCCAGCGCCAGCTGGCATTCATTGTGATGAAGCCACCCATGAGAGGACCTAGCATGGGACCCATGAATGGAGCAGCTGCAAACATTGCCATGGGCACACCCCGCGTGTCTGAGGAGAATAGATCTGCGATGACGCCTCCAGAGTTTGTCATCGGCGAAGCCCCGAACGTACCGGCCAAAAAGCGAAAGACGAGAAGTGATGCCATATTATGACTACCGGCACAGCCAGCAACGAAGGCCACAACGAATGCATTTGTAGTGATGAATAATATTCGACGTCCATAAAGTTCAGATAGCGGGGCCCAAAGGGATGGGCCTACTGCAAATCCCAAAACGAAGAGAGATATTCCGAGAGCAAAAACCTCATCACTGGCGTGGAATTCTGACATTATTTGCTTGGCTGAGGAGGAATAAGCCGAAGAAGTCAATGTGACAGCAAGAACTGAGGTCGAAGCAAGGCCTGTTATGAACCACTTCTTTGCCATAGAGAAATTCAGCGGATTCGCGGGATCATTATGTGCAAATTCAATTATCTTCGGAGTTTGAGCGGGGTTGCTATCCAGAGTGTCATTGCTGTTGTCTGTTTGCGATCCCTTCTCTTGGTCAGTTTGGCTGTCTTCGAGTACTGAGAGGGCTGTCATTGTAAGAGCCAGCACTTATCATGCCAAAGATGATAGGGCAATTCCGAAAAAACACAAGAGAAAGATCTTGAGTAACTGTCAATTACAAATTGATGAGACACAGATGTATTCCTTTTTATTTTCACAACAACAGACATTTGTACTTACAAAGTGCGGATGTGCTTCCGTAATTGTTAAACCGAAGGCAGAAATAAATGGGTCCTCAATGCCTTAGGAGACAAATTATTGGCTTGAATCCACTAATCAGATTGCGTTCCGTCATGGCTTCCGCTCGAATCCCGTTGTTCATCGAGGCTTCTTGATACCATCT